CACTTACCTCATCTACAAAACCACATTCCTAGCCTCTGGCTTCCTTGATTTCATCCTTTGGATGGCACATAAGGCTGAAGCATCAATCTCATTACTGGTCCTCCCCTTGTCTGCTGTTCTGGTTCTCTTTCTCTGAGAAGCATGCCGAGCAAGGCACCATGTGCTCTTGGGCCCTTAATAAATGTTTGATGATGATAATTAGATCATGGGCAATTTGTTACCATAACATTTATTTTCCACATTTTTTCCTTGGATACGGTATCTGTCTCTCTTTTGCTTGACTTAGGACTGTGATTTTAGCTTCAACAAGGACTATGGTCCAGAAAGGCAATTCATATAGAAAATAAAGGGTAAAAAGACTTTGGAGCTAGATGGACAGGGCTTAGACTTCTTTACTTTCTAGTTATTTAAATTTGGTCAGGCTTAAATTTCTAGACTTGAATTTCCATGTTTATAAGATTTCTTCCCCTCCATCCTGCATATATTTAATGGGACCTTCTATATCAGTACTATATAAGATATATCTGATATATAGTACTGTATCAGATACATCTGTGAGCCAGGCCAATCACCCTTCATTGTAAACCTTATATTCTGGTGAAGTGAGTCAGATTATCGTATAGGTATATCATATGCCCGGTGGTGATACATACCATGAGGAGAAACAAAGATACATAAGGGGAACAGAAGTTGGGGTTCTATTACAGAAGAGAAGGTAGGGGAGCTTCCTGTGATATGGATGCATTTGAAAAGTCTAAAGTGGGTATGAGAGTGAGCTACTGGGACATTGAAGGGAGAGCATTCTTGCAGAGGGAAGAGTGAGTGCAAAGTCTCTGAGCAGGGAGTATATCTGCATGTTCAAGAAACATTCTGGTATCAGGTCAGTTAGGTCCTTGTGGGGCTTTATAAAGGAAATTAGATTTTACTCCAAGATGGAAGTTGTTACAGAGTTTTGACTAGATCTGCTGTGGAAAACAGACCATAACAGGAGAGGGGGAGCGAAGGAGGGCTTTGAGAATAGTATTAAAACACTCCAGGCAAGGGGTGGTAGGGGCTTTGACAAGGGAGCTGGAGGTGGAAAACCTGAAAGGTGGTTGCATTCTGCATGCATTTGGGAGGCATACTGATGGAGTCTGCTGAGTGTGGGTGTGGTCTTGAGACAAAGATGAGTCAAGGACAGTGCCATTGTTTTTGACCTGAGAAGTAAGCAGGGTGCATCCATTTGCTGGGGTGGGAGTGGTTTGGGGAGAAATGGAAATGAGGAGTTTGGTTTTAGACATGTTAAATTTGAGACACCCCTGACATGTCCATTTGGAAGCTTGGAAGAGGTGGTTGGATTTTTCATGCTGGAGAAGAGAAGAGAGGCTGGAACTGCAGATACAACTTTGAGATGTACTGTAGCATCAACCTGGTGGAAAACCATGATCCTGGAGAGGATGATTGAGGGATGCAGTGGAGGTGAGAGGAGGTCTAGGGACTGGTCCCAGAAGGGTTTCTGTAAGGGCCAAAGGTGGGAGTCTAAAGTAGTTAGACTTTCTGTCTCTCATCCCTCATGGGAAATTGTTGACCTTTGGATTTTCTGGTTTAGCACTCTACCTGGGACTTTTTTTTTTTTAAGTACAGATATTTCACTCTTGATGATGCAACCTTTGTTTAGTCATGAACCTGTCATTGGAGATGTGCTTTGCCTTCTATCACATAACTGTTCAGGGACAAGGGTGAATGCCCTATAGCTCTGGGTGCTGGCTGGGGGTGTGTGATGAGGGGAGCCCTGGCTGTCCTGAACCTGTTTTCTATGGCAAATACCAAACATTAAACCGTCTTCTCTTCTCTGGGCTCAAGCCCAGCTCTTCCATATGAATATGCACATGAATATCTAGAGATCCCAATATCTAAATATAATTCTCATCATTCCTAGAATATCCCAGGAAGCCAACAGATTCTCATTTTATTGGCAGCAAGATGAGGGTCTGTTGGGTGGACTGGCTCTCCTGAAGTTAGGTGGTATAACAGGGGACACCAGAGACTCTGTCTGCTAGTCTGTTGGCTCAGGATCCCGATTCCATGGCCTTGCTGAGTATAAAATGTCAAGGCATTCCCAGAATGAAAGGGGCAAAATTGCCCCCAATCCCCAAATCAAGGATGGAAGCTTTGCTTATTTGCAAAGTTGCTCTGTACCCAGTTTGATGGGGCAGAAGCACATGCATATGATCAGGGAAGGCTATGCTGGCTCATTGTTAATAATTATTCTATCAAGGAAGTGTTGGATGTGACTCTGGAGGCAGCTTCAGAGTCAAACACACCTGGCAGTTGAATACCAGCGAGGCCTCTCATTAGTGTGATTGGAGACGAGTCACGTCACCTCTCTGAGCATGAATTTTCTCATCTCCATATCAGGCGATGTTAATTCCCACCTCCCAGGCTGCTTGTGAAGACCGAGTGAGATGACACCCACAGAGGAGGCAGCGCGGAGCCTGGTACAGACACAGTGACACTCACCCAATTTTCATTCTCTTTCCTCATCTGTATGCAGCCAACAAGAATGTCGTGATGACAATAGTTAACAGTGATTAAAAGTTTCTGTAATGACTATTATAATAATGTGAGGGTTGATTTTTATGTCAATAAATCAATTAGGAAACCTGAGCTGAGGAAACCCAAGGTACTATCTAATGCAAAACAGGCTGGGTGGATGAATGAAAAGCCATCAGATGCTGCCCATACCTCAAGGAAACCTGGTCTCAAAGGGACATGAAGGGAGCAGCTCCTTATTCTCTGTGAATGATAGGATGATTGGAATCTAAGGTAATGCCACCTTGGATTTGGAATGGTACTTGGTCCATCCATTAAAATCAGGTAAGCACTGTGCACAATAACCGAAGAGTGGAAACAATGCAAACATCCATCAGTTGTTCAATGGGTAAATAAAATGTGGTACATCCATGCAATGGAATATTATTCAACCATATAAAGGAATAAAGAAATTGGAAAAGTTATGCTGAATAAAATAAATTGGACCCCTCCCCCCCCCAAAAAAAGGACAAATATTGTAGGATTCCAGAATTGACAAATCCAGAGACAAAAAGCAGATTAGTGGTTGCCAGGGGCTGTGGGAGGGGAAAGGGAGAGTGCTTAATAATGGTATAGGTTTTCCTTTCAGGATGAGAAAAATATCCTAGAACTTGATACAGTGTTGTGCAGCCACTATCTCTGAGTGCAGTAAATGCCACTGAATTGTACACTTTAAAACGGCAACAGTGGTGAATTTTGTGTCATGTGTATTTTACCACGTTTACCAGACAATCAGATAGAGGTGCCTGGAATCTTACCCTGGCTGCTGTCCAGGCAGGCAAGTACCTCTGGGTGGACTTCTTTTTCCTGCCTCCCACATCCCTGCCATGGATCAGACACAGTCTGGAGTGCTTGAGACATTGTTCCTTATCTTTGTAGCATCTCTGAGAGAGTGGAGATGTTAGTTCTGCTTTACAGACCAGGCCTCTGAAACTGAGAAAGTATTATGCATTTTCTCCTGTCACAGAGCCAGTGTTTACTGAGCTGGGATTGAAACTCGTGTGGTGTGTGTCTCCACATTGGGACTGGAGCACCCCGCACCCCCCAATCTCTTGCCAACCATCCTAGGCGCTGCTGTTTATGGAGCATTTGCTTTGCTGGCCTCTGTGCTGAGTCTGAGCTGCCTTCTCCCCCTTGAGTTTACTTGTGGGTCTCTGGCAAAGGGTAGAAGCTGAGTGTGTGTTTGTTAAATAAATGTCAGGTTTTTGTCCTTGGGGTGATTGACTTGGTGGTAGATACCAACTGGATTGGGAGAATGGCTTTCTCTTTGATAACCATTAATATGAGGGATTTTAACCAGAATGAGTCTGACTCCTAACTTCTCTGAGTAAAGCTGCTTTCCCCTGATGTGTGGCAGTCACAGCTCATCAGGCAGTTGAAAATCATTTATATGTTCAGAAATGGACATTTCAGTATTGTAAATTTTAAAAATTAACAAACTGTTAACGGATCGGCACACTTCAAGTCATGGCAGAATGGCAGAAAGCAAGCATTCGCTGCTTGCAAGAGCAATATGTGTACGTGTATATTTCAGATATTACCCATCAAATGCAAGCATATGTCTCCAACTCACCATCTATATGCAAATACTTTGTGGTGTGGTGCTTATACCCCCCACAAACAGTGTGAAATGTATATAAATTATGCAATAATATAGATATTGCACATATGTTAGTTTGAGCTAATTGTCATCAAAACTCTGGGCCTGAATGGGTTGTGTTGGGTGTGTAAGCAAAGCCTGGGCTTGGCATCAGTGAAGGTCTTGCTGCAGCAGAGAGCAGAAAATCTCTGTGGCCTGGAAGGTGGGCGGGAGGGAGACTGGCTCTCAGATTTGCAGTCCCCAATTTAAATTTTATTAGGGTTCTGCAGAAGGATTGGGTCAGAAGCACTATTATAGGTTAACTGAAATCCTGAGACTGAGTTATCAATTCATAGTGAGAAGCCTAGCTGCCCATCAGGCTGGATTCTCGCCGTGACTGGCTTGTTCCATTTCACTTTACAGGCACTGCATCTCCCTTTTCAGGTATTGGGTTCTGCTCTGGGTCCAAAACTCAGCACCGCCACTCACTAGCTGTATGATACTTGAAAAGAAACGCCCGACCTGTCTTATTTCCTCCTTTGTAAAATGACACAATGGCCCCTCTCTTAGGACTGTGGTCAGGACAGCAGTGATACCATTTGGAAAGAAATTTGCACCTGATCTATTCTCCATTGATGTACCTCTTGACTGTGACTACCACTGTAGGAAAGTTCTAAGGGGGAAATCAGTTCTAATGAGAAGACTGCATGGACTCTGCATTCGAGCTGGTGATGTCAAGGGCAGGGCAACACAGTGGCATGTACCCCTGTCCTCTTTGGGGCTGGACCTGCTCAATAGACAGACAGTTACTGACTGTGTTCCTGGCACTAAGTGCTTCTTATGCATTTTATTACCTATTCTTCTCACAAATGAAGCAGTGGTACCAAGTGCAAGCTGTGCTCCCAGTTCACAGGGCTGGTGAGAGGAAGAGCCAGGGTTCAAGTGCTGAGCCTGCTCTTCATGAATGACTCTTCTACCAGAGCAGCTTTTCCCCAAACAGTGCTAGACATGTGGGGAAGGCCCTCATCGCGTGCTTTCTGTTTAAGGCAGTTCCAAACCACTGGTGCTGTTTCAGGTTTTTGCTCTTTGGGACTGATATTGCGAACTTCCCAGGCTTGTGTTCCTGAAAGAAACCTAGTGTATAGACTTCTAAGACTCCGATGATGTCTTAGGATGCCCAGCCTTGCCTTGCCTATTTTTTGGAGGTTTTCTTCATTTTTGTCTTGGGAGATGGGGTAGTAATCTCTATCCATTGTTTCCCTGTTCTGGGGAGCAGTAAGCCTCCTGCAGGCCTGGAACACCAGTGAGTAATGGAGCAGGAAGTCACTAGGGGCAGGGAGGAGAGGCCCCCTGCTCAGTAGAGTAACTGTGAGACCACTGGATTACTGCAGGAGGGAGTCTGGTTTGTAGCCAGACTGAGAAGTGGGGCTCAAAACCAGGGACACCCATTTTGGGGAGAAGCCTGGCTTAGATCTGCTTACCTGGTGAAGCCCTAGCCCCACCATGTTCTCGTGATGGCTTCTTATGAAACTCTGGGTACCACTTTGAGCATCTCACAATCACATTTAGCCAAGCGTATTTTGGGCTGATTGAAGTTGTAGGCATGCTGCCTGGGGAAAAAATAGATCTTTTCTCACTTGATGTGTGACAGATGAGAGCGACAGAAAGGCCCGCGCACTCTATGTGGCACACCGTGATCACTGCCGGGGGGCCTGGGGGATGGCTACCTTATTATCCTGCTTCTCATCTTCACTTCTGAGATGTTTAAATGGGTCGTTTGCACCACATGGCTGGGGGACAGTGGAAGAGACATGGCAAAGTGGAAGCAGGCAAGTTATTCCACAGGATGCTAACTAGGTCTAGACAGCTCGGTGCTCCCTGTGGGATCTGGGTGGTCTCATCATGGACTGCCCATTCCAGCCATTGCTTCACCTGTCTGTGACTTATGGGCTATCCCAGTGTGAAGATCCACCTCTTCCTCATCATCTTCTCACAAAGGTGGGGGCATTTGACTAGGGAAATCTGACCAAGCTTCTTCCATCTTCACCATTTACAGCTGTAAATGGATTTGGGCTAATGGTTTGGATATGGTGTCACCCAGATGTTCCTATACTGGGAGCATGGACCTCACTACAGTGATTCTGAGAAGCTATGAGATCTGTAAGACATAGGACCTAAGCGGATGTTGCAGGACTGGGCCCTCCCCTTGCTCTGGCTTTCTATCTAGCTTTGTGGTTTCTCCCTGTCACACATACTCTTACTATTGTGATGCTGTCCACTGTGATGTCCTTACCGGAGCTGAGCTGATGCCAGTACCAAGTTCTTGAACCTCCAGAGCTATGAGCCAAATAAACCTCTTCTCATTATAAAGTACCCAGCCTTGGTATTTTGTTACAGAAATGGAAAATGGATGAATACACCTTGGTTCAGAGGAGGTATAAGGATGGAATGAAAGAAAGAAGAAGAAATTAACTAAACACAGTTAATGAGAATTTGCTTTGTGATAAGCACACAGACATGGTTGTGATTATTACTGTCTTTTGTACACTTGTAACTTTTTTTTTTGTATAGCCTCGGTGAAGATGGTGAGGCACTTATAGTATGTAGCACAGAAATGGGAAGGGGAACTCACTTGAGTCATGTTAAGGGGGTAGATGTAATTGAACTCAGAGGCAGGAGGCAGATGGGATCAAAGAGTCTGGGATGAGATCTTGGTCCTTGCCTACGTGGCTGGGCAAATCATATATGAATCAGGGAGTGTAAGAATGAACCCAGAGGGGATGGTATGTGTGGCCTTGGGCATTTGGAGCAAGCGGTGTTTCTGAGGAATGCACATGTAGGCAGGCATTCTTAGTAAACAGATGGTATGTAGAAATGGTGTCC